TCTCTAGGACGACATTCGGAGAACATGTCCAAGCCACCGAAGTCGGTGTTTCAAGATGGTGACACCAATTGAGTTATCATCTCTGTGCCCGAACACACGATGCCGAACCTCTGCATTACTGACATGGTGTTGCCACTGAATGTCAGCAATCCTTCGGAGACAGCGATGATCGAACACAGAGAGTCGTCTAACGTCCTCAACTCGGAGAGGCCAGTTTTCACAAGCATAGAGCAAAACTGCTCTCACCGACGCGTTGTAGATCCGACCTTTTACAGCCAGACTAACATCACGAAGGCGCCAAAGATGGCTCAAACTGGCATCATTCACTCTGGCTTTCACTATACGTGCATTGATCTCATCACTCACGCCACCACCACCAGCACTTATGCAGCTACCCAGATACACGAACTTCTCGACTACGTCTATCTGCTCACCATCCAGGGTGAGTACAGGATTAGAATCCTGCCAGTCTTGTAGGAGTACTTTGCACTTCGAAGGTGCAAAGCACATACCATACCTACGGACATTGATTGCCAACTGATTAAGTGCGGATTGCATGCCTTGGGCATTATCGCACAGTAAGACAATATCGTCCGCATACTCAAGGTCGAGAAGTCTTTCTCCAGGCAACAGATCCACACCACCATTACTTACATTCATCAGAGCTGTTTCCAGAATGTCATCGATGGCAAAGTTGAAGAGGAATGGTGAGATTGGGCAACCCTGCCTAACCCCACTGCTCGAATGGAACAATGGAGAGAGGTGGTTGTATGCCCTCACTCTGCCTGAGGTGTTTTTATACAGGGCTTTTAGGATGTTAATAAACTTCTCAGGCACACCCTTCTTCAATAGACAATCCCAGAGAACAGTCCTATCCAACGAATCGAAGGCAGCCCTGATGTCAAGAAACACTACGATTGTTGGCCTTTGAAAAGTATGGCGGTGTTCTAACATTTGGCGGAGGGTGAAGATATGATCAATACATCCTCGACCAGAACGAAACCCAGCCTGCTCCTCGCGAGTCAATCTTTCTCTGGTTTTGAACAACCTACGAAGAATGACGGAAGCCAATAGCTTGGACGCAATCGGAAGTAAACTTATCCCCCGATAGTTGTTACAAGAACGACGTGAACCCTTTTTAAAGATAGGGACAACTATCGACTCATTCCATGACGTTGGTACACTCTCTAGATCCCAAACCTTTGTAAACAACGTCGTCAATTCCTTAGTCAAAAAGTCACCACCATCTTTAAAAAGAGCCGGAGGTAAGTCATCTGGGCCAGGTGATTTGTAACGCTTCAAGAGTTGGAGTTCCTTGCGGACTTCCCCCTCATTTGGTGGATCAGTCGTCACCGGCCATGGAGGGCAGGACAGTCTGACCGATGTTACCGGAGCAGCAGGCCAGTTGAACTGCCCTTCGAAAAATTCTGCCCATCGTCCAAGACGTCGATGGATGTTAGTGATTGGCATCCCATCATCCTCGCAGATTGTTTCACTCACACCAGACTTCTTGCTGCCAGTGGCTCGGATGAGTTGGAAGAGCTTCCGGTAGTTACCAGATGCAGCTGCTGCTTCCAGCTCATTAGCACGCATCGACCACCAGGCTTCTCGGTCCTTACGCAAGCTTTGCCCGATTTCCTTACGTAAAAACCTTCGTTTATGGTCAAACTCACGGTTACCCGGAGTAGACCGACGGGCTTCAATGAGTTGTAAGGAACCTGCAGAAACCCAGTGCTTAAAAGCGGGACGTTTCGCAAACCCACAACTGACTGTTCCCGCCATTTTCATGGCGTCATGCAATTGCAACCAATGCTCATCTATACTTTTCGGTGAAGTGGTAGCTAGCCTAGAGGCTAGCTCGGTTCGATACTTACTTGCAACAGAAGTTGCAACCAGCTTGCTAACATCAATCCGTTGATGGCGTTCACTTCGTTGTCCACTGAAAAGTAAGGCAAGATTGGCGCAGACCAAGGCATGGTCAGAGTCCAGATAGGTACTCCAAAAGGAGCGGCAGTCTTGTACACAACCACGCCAGCGGTAGCTGATCGCGATGTGATCAATCTGAGTCCAGGCTTGAGATGCAGAGGGAGGACGCCAGGTGGCACATCGGCGATGACTGTGCCGAAAGTTAGTGCTAGCCAGAAACAGGTTGTGGTCTGCGCAAAGTTGCAGTAGACGGTCCCCGTTATCTGACCTGCGACCAACGAGTCCCCATCGGCCACCTAAACGACTCTCTTCTGTGCCTAGACGCCCGACCTGAGCATTCAAGTCTCCGGCTAGTACTACAATATCTGTCGAACGCACTTTCTGGAGAAGAACTGATAACTGGTGGTAAAACTCATCCTTGATTGCATCCGGGCTGCAATCTGTCGGGGCATAGGCGGAGATGACGAAAAGACATCGTTTCTCACGCCGATTTCTTCTCACTTTGATGGAACTTTCTAATCTAACAGCACATAACCGACTGTTAATGGGGATCCAATCGACTAGTGCTGCCTCAGCTCTAGCGCTTAGTGCGACACCAACGCCAGCAAAACCAGACGAAGATGCCACAGGGTCCCCGGATAAGCGCACGTAAAACAAGCTTTTCGAAGCGACAGATGGAGATCGAATTTGTAGTACTTCGCCAGAGTCTTGAATACGGGTCTCGGATAGACAACACACGTCGATATTAAGACTTTCCAAAGACATAGCCAGCCCTATCTGTTGTCCGACCTGCATAAATGTGCGAACGTTGAAGGCAGCCAGTTTGAATGTTGCCCGTGGTTTCTGAAAAACTGCTTCAGTCCTCGTATTCGGTGGTAACATACAATTTTCAACCGGACAGTGACTCGAGAACGTTTAGATACAGTCGGAATTCCACCAAAGACGAGCCGCTGTATAAGTATAAAAGAAGGTGAATAATGTGGAAAATAATAATAATAATGATAATAATAACAATAATGACAATAATAGTAGTAATAATAATATTAGTATTAATAATGACAATAATTGAAGTGATCATAATTTGAATCAATTGATTGTTTTTCAAAGCGACAAAAGTAGTTTCCATAGACATAAACAGTTCATCATTTGTGTGTGGGCTGTGATACTGCCCGGGTGCCCAAACCGAAGCAGGTGGTTATCTTAGGGTGCCACTCCCCGAGCCTTTGACCTAAAGGTCTAACCCACAAGGCAGTGGAGCATCGTAAGGAGATGCAGTCCCATGGTAGCCGGTGACCAACGATTGGTTCATACGCCATTCGTTCCCGCAGGATACTGGAGCCCATGTGCACCATTGGTTTGGAATCCGGTTAAAGCGCCGGACATTCACTTCTCGTCCTCTCATTTTCGTAAACAACACCCCCGCCACGAGAAGGCAATGAGTAGGACATTCCCTGGCAGGGGCTATATACGCGTGGCCGTGTGAGAGTATTTCGAGAGGGAGAGCGGACTCTCCCCACTCTCGGCCGTACCAGGGCATTCAGGGGGCGTTCGAAGGTCAAAATAGGAAGAATTCTTCAAGTTACGTCTGAAGGCGAAAATCCTTTGTTGTCTAAGGAAAGACTTACTAAGTAAATAGTTAACCATGAACACGATTTCCACTAAGACGTAATCTGGGCTTGCTGTATAAACTTCTTGTCAGCAACCGAAATGGAAAATTTATGATGAGCCATTAAATCCAAAACTGCTTTTTTTATGTTAATAAGTACCCGGAAATAACACACAAGTCACTATCCAAATGCTATGAGAAATACAAATATCAAACATAGCCTGGTAGAAATTTCACTCAATGACCAGAAGCAGTAATGCTCAAAGGAAAAAGAGATGGAAAAACAGTGGAGATAGGTTTGGACCAGTTTGGTAACCAAACTTATCAGAGACAAATGATTAAAGTAAGTTTTTAGCCAAACTTTCTCTAGAAAATGAAGTCTTGATTGATTCCTAGACCAAACAATTAAATCGGCTTGCGAAATACCATACGGAAGTGTTCACTTACTGTCGATTTGACCACTGTCCCAGACAGCTTAAATGGGCGGTCGATCTGGGTTTCTAACCTTTCAGCAATGTTGTGGTCATTAGTAACCTCCTGTATGGACCCAGGAGGTCGTGATAGGTTAACTTCAAAATACCTGATGGTTGTGGTCTCACTTCATTAGCAAACTTGAATGATTTCGGAAGCTGGACATACTACCATCAGACTAGTTTCGATCTCTGAGAACCGTAGCTTAATAAATAGGATCTTCGCAGAGGAATGTTTTCAGTTAGCATTGTTTGACTTATTATCTTTTGTTATCGCCCACCATTTAAGTAACTCGGTAACAACCAACCTATGGGAAACAACCCGGTTTAAGCGTGGATGTGTATGTGTGGATCAAATATTCACCCTTCTGTGTTTAAATGTCATGTGTGGCAACTTTCACATTTATTGCAGGTCGTATGTAGACGGAGCCTTATCGATATTCATATGATCTATTCTCGTTTTTTTTCCGCGTAAGTTGGTTTCAAACTCTTAGCTCCAGATCCATTTATTATTTCAACTTTGCCGAACTTCGTTTTTCCTATGATCAAGTATATCTCCTTATTCAGTGGTAGTATACAGGCTCTTGACACAACCGTCCAGTTGGGACTAGGTAGAAATATTGTGGATTAAGAAATTTGTGAGAAAGATACGTATGCAGAGGAATATTTCCTTGTACATATCTTCCGGTCGTCAAGTCCTAAGTAAACAGAAAAAGAAATGTAATATTTGTTTCATAGCAATGAGAGCGATAACATGCGAGAATGAAATATTCTTGTCGTATACAAACATAGGACTAGAGGAAAATTGTAGAATTTACCTGAAAATAAAATGGTAAATCAACCAACTGTTCGAACAATGACCATCGTTGCAGATCATAATAAGTCATTGAGACTTGATTATTATCTGATCGGTAATTAAACTTCTTGATAATTTATCAGATACATTGCAGAGTTTCTTCGTCAAATACATCATTCTGAATTTTATTTCTTCATTTTAGTCTTCCAGCTCATTTCGTCAATTGGATATGATATTTAATCTACTAGGATCACCTAATGCAATGGAATTAATTGACTTAGTTGGTTTTCCGTCATCTAGCATAGATTTTATTCGTAATTGTCCTGTACGACCATTTAATCATGCTGCTGTTTCAAGAATACTTGTTCCGGCTAATACTCATTATTTTCAGTCACCGACAGAAAATCCACCTGATCCTAATTTAATTAATTTGTTTACAGGACTTCTAAGTTTTAGTTCAGTAAGTGGAGCATTTAACGTTTATTATTTATGTGATACTGGCGTCTTCTCTTCTATCAAGGATACATACAAGGATGTTGCTCTTTTTGCGATCCGTCTCCTTTCCTCTTTCTTTTGAAAGCACAAACAGTCACACATTTCCTTAATATGTAGAAAATATATTGTTTAACTGAGTATCCTAATTATGTGGATATTCTCCTTGTGGTACTGTCATAATGCTCACTCTCACGATTGTGCTAGCTGAAATCTTACCAGAGTATAGTAATTTCAAATTTTGCCATTGACGTCATACCAATTCGTAAATACCTGAAAATATATGTTAGAAATCCCTTGATAAATGTCAGTCTTCTAACCATCTACGTTATACTTTACTGTGGTGCCTCAATCGGTCGTGTAATTTATTCTTATTTATTCTTATTTATCTTCGTCTGGTCTTGCTGGCGTTGGTGTCGCACTAAGCGCTAGAGCTGAGGCAGCACTAGTCGATTGGATCCCCATTAACAGTCGGTTATGTGCTGTTAGATTAGAAAGTTCCATCAAAGTGAGAAGAAATCGGCGTGAGAAAAGATGTCTTTTCGTCATCTCCGCCTATGCCCCGACAGATTGCAGCCCGGATGCAATCAAGGATGAGTTTTACCACCAGTTATCAGTTCTTCTCCAGAAAGTGCGTTCGACAGATATTGTAGTACTAGCCGGAGACTTGAATGCTCAGGTCGGGCGTCTAGGCACAGAAGAGAGTCGTTTAGGTGGCCGATGGGGACTCGTTGGTCGCAGGTCAGATAACGGGGACCGTCTACTGCAACTTTGCACAGACCACAACCTGTTTCTGGCTAGCACTAACTTTCGGCACAGTCATCGCCGATGTGCCACCTGGCGTCCTCCCTCTGCATCTCAAGCCTGGACTCAGATTGATCACATCGCGATCAGCTACCGCTGGCGTGGTTGTGTACAAGACTGCCGCTCCTTTTGGAGTACCTATCTGGACTCTGACCATGCCTTGGTCTGCGCCAATCTTGCCTTACTTTTCAGTGGACAACGAAGTGAACGCCATCAACGGATTGATGTTAGCAAGCTGGTTGCAACTTCTGTTGCAAGTAAGTATCGAACTGAGCTAGCCTCTAGGCTAGCTACCACTTCACCGAAAAGTATAGATGAGCATTGGTTGCAATTGCATGACGCCATGAAAATGGCGGGAACAGTCAGTTGTGGGTTTGCGAAACGTCCCGCTTTTAAGCACTGGGTTTCTGCAGGTTCCTTACAACTCATTGAAGCCCGTCGGTCTACTCCGGGTAACCGTGAGTTTGACCATAAACGAAGGTTTTTACGTAAGGAAATCGGGCAAAGCTTGCGTAAGGACCGAGAAGCCTGGTGGTCGATGCGTGCTAATGAGCTGGAAGCAGCAGCTGCATCTGGTAACTACCGGAAGCTCTTCCAACTCATCCGAGCCACTGGCAGCAAGAAGTCTGGTGTGAGTGAAACAATCTGCGAGGATGATGGGATGCCAATCACTAACATCCATCGACGTCTTGGACGATGGGCAGAATTTTTCGAAGGGCAGTTCAACTGGCCTGCTGCTCCGGCAACATCGGTCAGACTGTCTCTAGGACGACATTCGGAGAACATGTCCAAGCCACCGAAGTCGGTGTTTCAAGATGGTGACACCAATTAGATCATCGTCTCTGTGCCCAAACAAACGATGCCGAACCTCTGCATTACTGACATAGTGTTGCCACTAAATGTCAGCAATCCTTCGGAGACAGCGATGATCGAACACAGAGAGTCGTCTAACGTCCTCAACTCGGAGAGGCCAGTTTTCACAAGCATAGAGCAAAACTGCTCTCACCGACGCGTTGTAGATCCGACCTTTTACAGCCAGACTAACATCACGAAGGCGCCAAAGATGGCTCAAACTGGCATCATTCACTCTGGCTTTCACTATACGTGCATTGATCTCATCACTCACGCCACCACCACCAGCACTTATGCAGCTACCCAGATCCACGAACTTCTCAACTACTTCTATCTGCTCACCATCCAGGGTGAGTACAGGATTGGAATCCTGCCAGTCTTGTAGAAGTAGTTTGCACTTCGAAGGAGCAAAGCACATACCATACCTAGGACTCTCTTCTGTGCCTAGACGCCCGACCTGAGCATTCACGTCTCCGGCTAGTACTACAATATCTGTCGAACGCACTTTCTGGAGAAGATCAGATAACTGGTGGTAAAACTCATCCTTGATTGCATCCGGGCTGCAATCTGTCGGGGCATAGGCGGAGATGACGAAAAGACATCGTTTCTCACGCCGATTTCTTCTCACTTTGATGGAACTTTCTAATCTAACAGCACATAACCAATCGACTGTTAGTGGGGATGTAATCGATTAGTGATGATGTTCTCAACCAAAAACTTAACAACCTCCACAACCCCTATACTGATAATTAACATGTGCTTACTAGTGACTAGCTTCGTGAGGTAATTCTCGGAGTTTTATTGAGAAGCCGTGACCAGTGGGGCTAATCCGTGTCGGGTAGAGACAGGTATCTACCTCAGTACAATGAAAGTTGGTCGCGCAATTTCGTGGATTTGTTGATGTTAGACACTAACACCATTGGATGCCGGCTCAGTGGTCTAGTTGGTTAAGCGCCTAGCGCGAGACAGGTAGGTCCTGGGTTCGAATTTCGTGGGTGAGCACTGCTGAGGAGTCCCATACTAGGACGAAACGGCCGTCCAGTGCTTCCAGGTTTCCAACGGTGGTCTAACATCAATTGATTCATGATCTCAATCAAAAACTTAACAATCTCCACAACCCCTATACTGATAATCTTTTTAAATACTTGATAATTGCCATGAAAAGACGAAATTTTTCCGAAGTTGGTAAAATATTAGCTCATGTTACATTTTAAACAGTCTGATCAAATAATAACTCGTTATAGTATTTGTATACGAAATAAAGTGAAAACTAAACAAACGACAAATTATCTAAAGATAAAGAAACGAAACAGTTTAAATCACTATTCTCAATATTTAAAGTAAATACCATCACGGTTGGTTCAATATTGTTCTTGAATTTGTATATCTGTGTAACATTGGCCTCAACAAATCCGATATTACGTTAAATTCACTTATATAATCCGTTTAAACTATGTCATACAGTAGAGGGGGATAACTGTTTGTTAACTGCTTTGATCTGCTTATTGGTTTTATTTATTAAAACTGCCAGTTAATTACAGGTTTGAACATTCCTACATTGAAGTTATGATTATTCTCTCTATGTATTTGCTGACACATGAATTGGTGTGCACAAAAGGATGTGATGTACTCGTTTAAAATCTGTTTGAGTGTTTAGTGGAGGATGACTCCAATCTAGCCATTGGAGAACGTTTCTGGAATTGTTTTGAGTTCTATATGGTTCAGATGTCATATATCATCATTCCAATTCCGTGTCAACAGTATTCTAACGCAATTTTGAAGTGCATTATATTAAATGTCGAGTGGTTGAGAACCTGGGGCATTTGGAAAATTGTCTTTTTCTAGTTTGGGACTGTTCTACAATTTTGACTCAGCGGTGGCTCGGTCCTTAAGACGTCAAACTTCCGGTCAGTAGTTGTGACTATTGTTGTAGAGCTGCACAGAAGGGAATAAAACGGTTGACCAGGTTATCAGTGGTTCTTCAGTTCTGATATCAGTTTATGACGAAATTACTTTCAAACTTTTCAGATCCCCAGCTTTGGTTTTGTCCTCGTGTGACATTAATAAAAAACTTCAATAAGTATACTGATTGTTTCCTTGTGTGTGCTCTGTGGATTTTCGTTAAAATTCTATATTATTTCTCGTCTAGAATCTGATAGTTAAGTTAAATCCTTACCCTTTTAATCATTAGCATTCAGCCTGTAATATCTCCAGCACAGATCATAATTATTAATAATTTCTTTTGAATGTAGTCCTTTCTATTTTTTGTTATATATCTATGAACGTTTTGTATCAGTCGTTGCCTACATCCTATCAATAGTATACATGGATGGCTTATATAAATCTTAAGATATGTGTTGTACGTCACTCTTGTGCTTTGTCAAATAATACAATACAAGCAATAAGAAGCATTTCTACAAATTATTTTTTTCAGTCGAAGCGGTTAACTGCTGAACAAGCGCTAGATTCACCATTCTTAGTTGGAGGTAGAGCTAGATTTCATACTTGCCTGTGCTGTTGTTGTCCACCACGTAATCAAAGTTCAATAATTAACGATTCACCTACCCACTGGAGTAATGTAGCGAAACAAGTAAATCATCATCTTTTAGCTTTTGGTTCAGTTGGTACTCTGTCATCATCTGGTGGTACACTGCCATCTTCACTTCATTCATCTATGCTATCACAAAGTAGAGATATAACGTTGCGCATCCCTTTATTTTTGTCACCTCATCTAATGGTACCAACTTCTCTTATACGGTATAGTTGTATTAATTTGGAACCAACCTTTCAAGATATACATGAATACACTTATTTAAATACTGAAATAGAAGTGAATAACTTGTTTGAAGCTAAACGTGAGTTTTTAATTTGTTGACTTTATCATTTTAAAGTAATTTACTCACAATGTATACGTTTACATATTCTACATCTTGTCACTTTGAGTGAGTGTTGTTTATACTATCCGCGTTGTTAGATCTAAAATGCTGAAGTTAAATGTAACCTTCTACGCACTAGTGATTAGAATTTGAGTATTGTTCAATCACTTCTTGGCTGACCATTTTACTATTTTTTAATACCACCACTATTGCCTGATTTGAAATCGTCTTTATCTTAAAATTAAATGATACTTCTCCTATTATGCTACGTGTTTGTATATACGGACTATCTGGTTGCATTCCATGCGGTAACTGATCAATGGTTGGAAAGATTGGAGTAACATTTCCTGAAATTAGTCGCCGTAGCATAAATACATTCACTCTTCATCTTAGTCTAAATCTTAAGTTTTCATATTTCTTTATATACACGTTTTCAGTATAGCTCCTCATACCATATTCTCAATGTTCACTTCTTTTCATTATCAGTGTTGCAGCACTATCTCGATTCCTTTGTTATATATGGTGTAGATTTCATTTTATTTGTGCTAATATCACATGTCATCTTGCGCTAATGCACAATTGTGCCTGGAATTTAAGTTAATAATGACTGACTGATGTATAAAATTTTAGGTCGTTTACATCTACATATTGAGTAAATCCATCCAATATAATCTAGGATGATTCAGGCACTCAATGTAATTAGTTTGAAACAGTCATTGATAAATTTATTCATATTTCATGCGATTACATATAGTTGACATGATGCATTCGAATAATTTTATATGACCTTTTAGTACTTATGGATATAAGTTTATTTTTTGTCGACTTTATAGTCAAACTAGAAATGGAATTATGACAGTGGATTTCAGAATTAGACTATCAATCTTAGTCAATGAAAAATTACGAATTATGCCAAGGGATATCTAAGTATACAACTCTTCTTCAGTAGAATACATTCTATGCGCATCTCATAACAATATCACGTATTAAGTCTATGTATACACTTATATGCGTTGCTATAAGATTTTTTATGAATATTTTACTTCGATTGTTTACATTTGTGCCCAAGTTAAGACCTTATATATATATATATATATATATATATATATATATATATATATATATATATATATATATATATATATATCCTTTTTGCTTCGTAATTTATGTTTATACTTTTGGGAATGTTTGTTTGTGTCGCCTGTTTCCATGGTATTATCCCTTTTTAAATCTACATAAAATTACTTCATATTAGGGGTATTTATAAATCATCTCATATGTTGTATATTTTAGCTTCATATGCTTTAACATTGCTTTATGCATATACAACGTAGACAATTTCGTTTGTTTATATTGTAGTCTTTGTAAACTAATATTTTTTCAGAGTAATTGTTGTTTTTATTAGCTGCAGGACGTTTTTAATTCACTGCTATTTATATTCAAACTTGACACAGTATGTCTTTGGATGTATGTTTTGGTGCTCTGAATAGTACAGTAAAGTAGTATGAATTGTTTCCAGTTAATATATCATTCTGACTGCTATCTATCTGATGTTTTTTGTTATTTAATGTAAAAAGTTTGGGTTCGGAGAGCTGACATACTAACTTTTTATTCGCATTTACTATTTATCTTGTTAATTTTATCTTGTACTTATATGGTATGGGATTTTGAGCCAATCCAACTTGTGTTAGGCTCTATATTGGTTATGACTGACTATTACTTTATCAATGATATGAGTACAATTATGAATAATTTTTGACTTATGCATGCCCCCAAATGCCTTGGTATGGCCGAGAGCGGGGAAAGTCCGCTCTCCCTCTCGAAATACTCTCACACGACCACGCGTATACAGCCTCTGCCAGGGAAGTCCTACTCACTGCCTTCTCGTGGCGGGGGTGTTGTTTGCGAAAATGAGAGGACGAAAAGCGAATGTCCGGCGCTTTAACCGGATTTCAAATCAATGGTGCACATGGGTTCCAGTATCCTGCGGGAACAAATGGCGTATGAACCAATTTTCGGTCACCGGCTATCATGGGACTGCATCTCCTTACGACGCTCCACTGCCTTGTGGGTTAGACCATCAGGTCAAAGGCTCGGGGTGTGGCCCTCTAAGATAACCAACCACCTACTTCGTTTTGGGCACCCGGTCAGTATCACAGCCCACACACAATTAATGAACTGAACTGTCTATGATCATGGAAACTAATTCTCTTTCTTCGACGAACATTCAAATGATTCTATTATTATTATTATTATTATTATTATTATTATTATTATTATTATTATTATTATTATTATTATTATTATTTACTACGTCATTATTCACCCTCCATTATCCCCACTCTGTTTATACTTTTTTTTTCGACTTACACAGCAGCCCGTCTTTTGTGGAAATTCGACTGTATCTAAACATTCTCGAGTCACTGTCCGGTTGAAAATTGCATGTTTCCACCGAATATGAGTACTGAAGCAGTTCTTCTGAAACCACGTGCACCATTCAGACTGGCTGCCTTTAACGTTCGCACGCTTACGCAAGTCAGACAACAGATAGGGCTCGCTATGTCTTTGGAAAGTCTTCATATCGATGTCTGCTGTCTATCCGAGACCCGTATTCAAGACTCTGATGAAGTACTACAAATTCGCTCTACATCTGTCACTTCAAAAAGCTTGTTTTACATGTGCTTATCCGGAGACCCTGTGGCACCTTCGTCTTGTGTTGCTGGCATTGGTGTCGCACGACGTTGTTTACAAAGGTTTGGGAACTAGAGAGTGTACCAACGTCATGGAATGGGTCGATAGTTGTCCCTGTCTTTAAAAAGGGTTCACGTCGTTCCAGTAACAACTATCGGGGGATAAGTCTACTTCCCATTGGGTCCAAGCTATTGGCTTCCGTCATACTTCGTATGCTGTTCAAAACCCGAGAAAGATTGACTCGCGAGGAGCAGGCTGGGTTTCGTTCTGGTCAAGGATGTATTGATCATATTGATCATTGTCTATTGAAAAAGGGTGTGCCTGAGAAGTTTATTAACATTCTAAAAGCCCTATATAAAAACACCTCAGGCAGAGTGAGGGCATACAACCACCTCTCTCGGTTGTTCCATTCGAGCAGTGGGGTCAGGCAGGGTTGCCCAATCTCACCATTCCTCTTCAACTTTGCCATCGATGACATTCTGGAAACAGCTCTGATGGATGTTAGTAATGGTGGTGTGGATCTGTTGCTTGGAGAAAGACTTCTCGACCTTGAGTATGCGAATGATATTGTCTTACTGTGCGATAATGCCCAAGGCATGCAATCCGCACTTAATCAGTTGGCAATCAGTGTCCATAGGTATGGTATGTGCTTTGCACCTTCGAAGTGCAAACTACTTCTACAAGACTGGCAGGATTCCAATTCTGTACTCATCCTGGATGGTGAGCAGATAGAAGTAGTCGAGAAGTTCGTGTATCTGGGTAGCTGCATAAGTGCTGGTGGTGGTGGCGTGAGTGATGAGATCAATGCACGTATAGTGAAAGCCAGAATGAATGATGCCAGTCTGAGCCATCTTTTGCGCCTTCGTGACGTTAGTCTGGCTGTAAAAGGTCGGATCTACAATGCGTCGGTGAGAGCAGTTTTGCTCTATGCTTGTGAAACCTGGTCTCTCCGAGTTGAGGACGTTAGACGACTTTCTGTGTTCGATCATCGCTGTCTCCGAAGGATTGCTGACATTCAGTGGCAACACCATGTCAGTAATGCAGAGGTTCGGCATCGTTTTTTTGGGCACAGAGACGATGATCTAATTGGTGTCACCATCTTGAAACACCGACTTCGGTGGCTTGGACATGTTCTCCGAATGTCGTCCTAGAGAATTCCACGTCGTGCATTATTTGCCGACTCTGGGACTGGTTGGAGGAAGCGGAGAGGTGGTCAGTGCATGACATGGTGTCGTGGTATGAAAGAAAGCTGCAAAGGACTGGCTTGTGTTGGTCCTTCACGACTCCCTGGTTGGGGTCCGAGAGATGGTGCTACACAGTGGTTAGAGACGTTATCAGATATGGCTCGGAATAGAAGCCAGTGGCGATCCTGCTGTAACCTTCTTTTACTTTCTTCATAAAAAAGTGGTTGTATCTTCCTTAACTGATAGATTTCTTCTGATTATACCCTTCTGTTCCCCTACTATTGCTGTTATTATTACACTACGTTACACCAACCCCTTCGTTATAGTTATTTTTTTATTATCATTTTTTTTACGTTTTTCGAATTTTTTTCTTAGATTCTCATTGTTTTGTGTGGCGTATATATATTCCGCGCACTCCTGTACCAATATATATATGTGTTCAAATAAATAAATGAATAATAATAAATATGCATCGTAACTAAAAATTATTTTACACATTGTCACGCGTAACCTCAATAGTAAATTGTTATTTGTGTTGCAGTCGCAATTCGTCTACCTTAATGCTTATTTACAAGTTTGGAATTGAGAGTATATTTTTAAAATTTGTTTATAATTTTTTAAAGTTAGTAATTCATACTATTTTTTCTTTATACATCATATATTCAGAAATATTATGGAATCTAATTCAGCAATATTTCCAAAGAGATCCTAATCGTACCCGAGTTGTGATAAACAATTCTTCGCCTAATTTCCAATCATTTATAAAGTGAGCACATTATACGGTTGTTTTTAGTTCATTACGTTTATTAATTGGGTAATGATTTATCATATTCTTACTTGGTGACTGAAACACTTTACTTTTACTGTTAGGTTGTAAGTTCGAGACCGGCTCCACCTACTTCGATTTGACTAGCTTTAAAATATCACTAGAACTTGCACTATTGAAGTATGGCTCAAAGTTGAATTCAAACATCTATACATGGTCCATGAGTAAATTAGCCAATCAGTTGACAAAACTACGGGACTAGTTTTTATCTAGGTTTCGAATTCTTTGGATTTTCTTTTTAAATCACGGGTCGACATCTGCTTCAAAGTCGTTTCTCACGAGTCCTTTAATGTTTCAGGTCTAAAGTCGCATGTAGTCGTGACTTTTTGTTGGAGTCCTGAACTAGATCCTTTACTTCTGAAAAATTCTCCATATAGTTTCATTTTATGATAAGCATTAATTTCAGCTTTCTTGAGAAGTAATGACCTTCAAGTTGAATTTTAGTTCAACCTGATGAGTAGGTTGTGTCTTTATCGTACATTTTATGATGTTAAATCTAAATGATGAGAGCTGTGACATTCGTCTGTTTTGTCGATGTCATTATTGTAGTTCCACTGAACCTATTCGTCTGAGAAGATACACTCACATCTACCATGGTTTTTTTCCAATATACTCGTTTTATATATTAGATTGGTTCAGTACTGTATGCATTCAAATTAACCTTTTTTCATCTTTCACTTGGGTAAAATGTTAACGTTTCCGGTTGTTAATCCTATAGTTTTAGCTCTAAATTCTGTTTATATGAAAATACAACAGTTCTAAGTTACTTTTCTTTTGATTTCCTAATAATACTGATATGTCACTTACATTCATGGTACATACATCCTCATTTTTATCAGATATTTATTACTTTAAATCTTTTAAAATGTTTGTAGTTTGTTGATATTTTAATCTGTATTCCATAACATGTTCCAAAATTTCCTTATAAAATACATCATTTCTGTCTTATTGACTAAAATATGCATAAGATCAACATTTTCTAGTCTACATAATTGTTAATACTTTTTGGTGGAGTTTTATTCTCTGAGCTGGATGGTTTGGTCGTGGAGCTTTCATCGTTCTTCTGAACGACATCATCAGCACAATCTTCAGATAGAAGTGAAATGTTCGAATTTCTCCATATGTGTTTCACAGCTTGTTCTGTGCACCTCGATGTTGATTGGTTCTTACTGACCTTAAATTTATCATTGTTTACTTCTTTGTTTTGGTTGTGTCTCCCATTGGTTTGATTTTTGTTCCTATATTCATGCATGATTTTCCTGATTGGTTGATAAATTGGATTGATCTCAATATGTTTGTTGATTGCTGATTGACCTGAGTGCCAGGCTTCTAAAAATTCTCTGATGTTTTTCGAGTTTCCTCTGTCTAAGATTTCTACATTTTTCCAATCAAATGAGTGTCCGTTGTTATCCACGTGTAAGTGAAGTGATATCATGGCGTTCGACTGCTAATTGATGTTCATATAGGCGAAGGTGGAGGGGGCGTCCGCTTTGTCCGATGTGGTGTTTGTCGCAGTTGGTACAATTTATTTTGTAGATGATGTTTGAATTGTTCTCTTTTGTTATTTCAACCTTTGGTTTGCATAGGATTGATTGTAGTGATTTTGTCGGTTTGTGTGCCACACCTATCTTCTTCACCATCTCAATTGTTAGTACTCCATTCTATATTCTGTTTGATGAATCCTCATCATTTCTTTCCTATGTACTCATATGATCAATTGTTAGTATACAATAGAGATTCGTTTATATCATAGTTAATAAAATCATATGATAGTTCATTGCTTAGTTTTTCATAAATATGCGTTCATGTACTAGTTTTTTGTCATATTTATTGAAATGGTCTTAAAATGTTTTTTTTTTACTTAACCGACTAAATTACATGTCAATAGAATAGTGTTTTAACCATTAAACATAATTGTTGATAAAATCTTTAAATCAATTAACCTTAGTTACAGTTTTGCTAATAAGTTTAGTAGATTTAAATTGTACTTATTTGTATTTATCGATATCCACTTTTCAATGTAAAATAGGTTTTGTTTCCTTTTTGATAACCCAATTAACATTATCATTATTTATCAGTTGAGACTGTTATTATAATTTATATTAACCCATTGTAGGAAAACAATCTAGAATATAAAAACATCCGATATTATTTAAACCAAACAAGTTCGGCATTAATAGTATGACTGTTTTGAATTATTATTTATTTTAAAGCATATAGTTGGATTTACATGATCATCATATAGTTTTATTGATGTTAAGTCATTGTTTACTGACTAAAATAGAAATATGATATTAAATAACTAAAGATTATTTAATCAGAAACTTACAGTGCTCTTGAGTGCTGTTAGACAGAGGTATGAGTGCGATTATCACTTCCCGGTTGCCCACTCCGTGGAAGGGTTCTTCTGGAGGTACCTGAAAATGAAATTGGATTAGAGGTGGTCTTAGTGACCTGAGAGCGTTGCCATAATGCCCAAGAGACAACTGCTTGAGGTCTGTCACACATGAACTTTTTGTGAGTTATATTTGTGTTAGCTACGTGCTTGTTGAGACCTTACTAACGGAGACGGATATACGTAGGATAAGATGAGGTGTGTATTTTTAGGATCGACCTTTTCTAACCCCACTCCTCCTTGTGGGAAGGTAGCATCGCTGTTATGCTGTTTGTCTGAAGGAAACATCTTACTGCTGTCACACCTCTATACAGTCAGCAGTACGACCTCGCCTTCGGACCTTGGGTTTGTTGCTTTTAGTCTTACCGCCCTTCAACCAACCTGTTTGACATGGTAGAACCTTTAGGAACTATTGTTTCAGCCAGTATATCTCGATTGGTTCATCACGATAAGCAAGCTCGACCACCACGTCAAGGTAACAACAACGGTCATTTTGACTGACTGACTGAATCAGAAACATAATAACAGTCAGTATTAGTTTAAACTGCTTATAAAATTGTGAAACTCTTCACTAATTTAATATTTATTTTATTTTAAAATCATTGAGTGAAACAATTTAACAATGATAAATAATCATTCAGATTATTTTTTCTTCTTTGTTTTCCAAGTTATCTCTTTTATTTCCTCTAATTATTTTCTAACATTATCCTATTTCTACATGTAAAACACCTTGAAGCAATACATTGTTACTATGCAATATTACATTTATTGAATTGATATTATTCTTATCTATTCAATATCATAATCAATTTTAGAACGTTTTAGTTATTAGTGGTGTGATTATGATACTATTTTTTAAATTTCTTTTGGAATTGTCTTTTAGACAAACATCTTAAAAAGTTAATCATGGAATGTCAATTTGTACCCTTATTATCATTGTTATTATTATTATTATTATTTTCTAGTTGTTTATCACTAATTATATCTTCATTTACATTTAAACAAATATAATTGATGTATCAAGTAAATTATTTACATAAATTAAATAAGATATAATAACAGAATTGTAATAAATCTTTGCTTAGATTGTAAAAGATCCCATATTAATTGAAATAATCTATTATATCAAATTTAGATTTATATCAGATGGGTTTTGTGGATATTATAGTAATTTCAATGGTTAAGATCATGAGTCATTTGAAGCTAGACCACCATGGAAAACCTGGAAGCACTGGACGGCTTTTTGGTCCCATTGTGGGACTCCTCAGAAGTGCGCATCCAAGACCTCGCCACCTGCGAGATTCGAACCCAGGACCTACTGGTTTCGCACGCGAGCACTTAACCACTAAACCACTGACCCGGAATCGAACGATGTTAATGTCTAACTTCAACTAATCCACGAAGTTGAGTGACACATCTACCATTGTCTCCAGTAAGTTTCTATCTCGCAACAGACCTGGTTGAGCTGCACTGAGGAGTCCCACAATAGGACGAAACGGCCATCCAGCGCTTCCAGGTTTTCCATGGTGGTCTAGCTTCAACTGACTCATGATCTTAACCATTGAAATTTAGATTTATTGTTAAGTAATTTCATGTAATCAGTCCATTCTATACTGTTTTTCCTTTCTGTCTTTTTTGTTTTTCACTTCTCCACAAGGTTATTCTTTTTTATCTATAACATTCATATAGTTTTATTTATTTGTTTTCTTTCTTTTTAATTTATCTTTTATAGGTCTTCAGTTGCGTTCAATTAATATTACAACATGTTATAATGAAGACTATTTATATAACTACAAAAACTTTATATTTCTATTCAATGTTAATTATTGTATTATAAAGTTTTGATCCCCTCTTTATTAATCAATTCATGTAATATGTAATTATTCTTTTTGATATATCTTCTTTTTTTTGTGGCCTTTCCTATTATTACTGCACATTTATATGTATATTTACAGTTGAATGTACTACAAATACGATTTCTTCCTGTATTATTATTGTGACCATTTTTCGAGTGCCTTTAATTATCATCTTCTGTTCTATTTGTTGTTGCTGTTTTTTTTGTTAAAACAACTGAGCAGTTGTACTTAATTATCTAATTGGCTTTAATCTAATCTATTGCACGTATTTCGGAAAAATGAATCTTGTTATATATATTCTCATCTTCTTTGTTCTATTCTAGAAAAGTTCTTTATTCTGTCTATCTACGTAATTTGTAACAGTGTGTACATTCTAAAATTTTTCTATACCTTTTTTTCTTTCTTTCTCATTTTCTTCATTGAATTATTGTATAATCAAGTCAACTGATTCTTTTTATTAAATATTGGGCTGTGCTGTCTATGTTTCAACTGCGTTTAAAGTGGTTAATTCTTACAATCCATCATATATATATATATATATATATATATATATATATATATATATATATTCTTTATATTGGTTATTTGCTTTATATTCTTATTATATATATATATTTATTAATCAGGCTGTGATATATCAAAGGGCACAATTTCAAGTATATTCTTTAACTAAATTTGTTATATACATATATATGGATTAATATTTACGCTTGCCATTGGTATCCTAGTCATCATTCCCATGTTTATACTTCAACACATTACGTACATTGTTTTTGTGATTACTCTTTTTTTTATCTTGTTAAAGTACATATTTCTATTTTAACTCTAATAACTAGTATAGGTCTGTATTGTCCAAATCCATTTATGTTTATATGTACTTTTTTATTATAAATTAAATTCACTTTATTTGGTGTTTTTATAAATTCTGTGTTCTCATTTTCAAATAGTAAGGTTTATTTTTAATGTTAATTATCACCTGTTGTACAGTATGTGAATACATGAGTACTATAGGTACTTGTAATTTTTAGACTTAAATAGTGGCGGTATCACAGTCAGTCACGACTAGTTTTTTAATGGGTTTTTACGATCGTTTATTGGGAACCTATTGTACGTTTACATATTCTTCTTGTCCGTCAACAACACGTAAAATTCAACCTTATTTTCATACTGTATCATAGTCTGACAAAACTTTTTGATCATTTCCGGAACATTTCAGTTGTTCTTTTGATCAGTGTTCAGTACTTAGGTAGAACATATCGTACAACTGGAATGGAGATTTTTCCAATAAAAACATCTGGTTTACTGACATTATTGTATAGAAAATTGCTACTTCAGAATCTGATTTAAGACAAATTAGAATTGAATCGCTGTATATATTACTTTTCGTAGTTTAGGATGGAATCGTAGAAATTAAACACAAATAGATTCACTTGGTGTTGTTTACTTGTCTGTTATTTGTAGTCTAGGCTGGATGTCATGCAGTGTGCTGAAGCTCATTTCAAATCAAAGAATTCAAAAGCCGTTTTCATCTCATTACAGCTTTCTGTTTGTCTAAGTAAGCCGCTAATTTTAGAATCCAGTTTCTCTGAATTCAGTTTATTACTCGCAAATATATATATTTTTTACTAATCAGCAAACATTCTTCAAAATTAATTGATAATTTATGACATCATCTTATTTCTATCAGTTTTTAGTTTCTTGGTAACCAGATACACCTACACGACGTTAACCCTCGAAATGCCTACTTTTATCACTGATAAAAGCTGGAAAGTCACAGTTTATAGTCAACTTGGTATGTTTAGCTGAATCCTGTATTTTTAACAAATTTAACGTCTGGACGTTTGTGATTAGGTTGTAGTTTTTTAAAAAGGTAGTTTATTAACTAGTTTATGTGAATAATTGTAATTATTTCCCATGGAACTTTAAGCTCTACTCTTAGAATTAACTAGAGAACTACTTAGTTTTTTGCTATATATTTCATCATTGATGCTATAGTCAAATTCGCTATTTTATACCAGCCTCCGATAAGTTAGTTTACTGGACTGTAATTTTATGGAGAAACCAATCAGATTTAGAGTATGTTCTTTTGGGTTTCTGCGCAAAATTCAACTACTCATATGGTTCGTGAAAACGTTTACTCTAACTCCTAATCATAGCTCCTTATTTGAAGTATCCATAACAATGGAGCTCAGTAATTTTTAAGCATCCATATTTAGAAACAAAATTCAACAAGTATCTCTTTTCAATTACCTTGTTATCAAGCTTTAATAACACCTCTACAATAAATAAACGTCATATTTAAATATATTTCGAAAATCTAGTAAATCATACGATATTGTTCTTGTATTTCCACATGAACTCCAGCACTTCAACCCTACTGTGCTGGATTGTAGATATATTAACACAGTCAATTCATAACAACTTAATAACCTGAAATAATAAACGATTAGATATTTGAGCGAACTAGGATTTAATTTGGCTTGTTGTAGTGCTGTTTGATCACTGGTTAATAATAAGATACTAGTTATTGCATCAAATGCATTGAATTTCCTTTACCTGAAAGGGGTAAACAAACCATCACAGATTGGAAAAAAATCTCACTGAATTTGTGTAAAACTCAAACGATAATGGGTTTGAACATCTCGCTCATACGTGGATCGGCCAAAATACATAAACTTGTTTAACCGTTACTTCATGTTGTGGATATGTTTAATTGAATCGAATACTAGATCACTCAATGGTTGGAACTAGTTAGAAGGCAAGTGTATGTTCGTATACCTTATATCATAAGCCTTATTTCCGATTTGTCGGTTACAGTATCCCACACTGACAGCCACTTTTGGTTTGATCTTGTATAATTATTATTCATTTTATGGTATGATGATACCTGGTTTGCGGAAGCTGATATTGTGTTCTGGTCTTGGCAAGTTTTAATTCTGAGTACCAATAAGGATTCAGAGTTGACTCTTGGCTGTTTGTGCTGCTGTCCATCCACTAATATATAGAAGATAATACCTTGATACGATAGGCTGAGTGGTTTATTCTTGAGGTTAGCAACGCGTGAGTTCGAAGTTAGAATAACTGCATTGGGCAGAAAGATGAAAACTACTCTATCACTTGGTTGCTTGACAAGCGCGCGTGAAGGAGAAGATGAGACAACTGGAACGCTACTGGACTTGTTCCCGATTCAGATTAGTGTAAAAAGGTACGTGAATAAATAGGTGACTAACATGACCACAATGCAAAAGCAATTAGGGAAATACAATTACGTTCAAAATTGGGGATTAGGGCAGAAAAATAGATTAGCAAAAGCTGCGTTTATATCACAATAACTTAGGAACAAAAATGGATATTTCAGTGAATCATGCTTCAAACGGAAACTTATGGTTTGTTTAATAAGCTAGAAACAAAATTAAATATTGGTGTTTTACGAGCTTTGAATTAAGTAAAATAACGTACCCGTTGTTTGTTATGGCTTCTCTGTTCACATCATTAGCTCATTATTTGTTCAGCGTGGGGACAAGGTCATGTGAGTCTGCGTTCTGATTGGCGGTCTTGTCACGTGATATTTAACGGGCCATAAGTCATAACAATTTAGTGACGGGAATTTCGCGGAAAATGGAGAAAAATATTGTAACATGGACCTCAAAATCAGCCATAATAACTACCAGGGTTTTCTGAACTAAGGAGATAATCTCAGCATTAAAAAGTGGCACTCTTTTCTAAATAATTGCAATAACTTGCAGCAGATTCTTATGAATAAACACTTGAAATCCATAGGAAAACTTCTAACAGGGCTACTGAATAGTTCATATTTTGGAGATATGATGAAAATTGATTACTTGATTTAAAATTTGCATACAGAAGCTGAAAACGGCTGCAGAATTAATGTGTGGGTGAAGGGCTGCGTAAATCGTTAATAAACACTGATTTAAACGATACAATGGCAGCCATACATGATCCTCGAAGTGTTCCTGTAATGGGCATTTCGGAAACATTCTCTGTAATAGCTTCAAATCTAGTTCTTTCCGAAGCATAATGTAAAGTCGGTGAATTGTCTAGCTCAAATACAAAGGGAAAAGAAACAGATGATTTTTTAAATGAAACTCCGAGTCTGTTATGAACTTGAATGTCTGACTTTTCTATCACACGATTTATCTACCAATCCGAATACGACTTATACGAGTCTTCACACTAGGCCAACCAATGACGTTCAACCGGTGTGGGCAGTTTAGTGTCCTACGAGCCCTTCCACTTGAGTCCAGAACACAATACCAGCTTCCGAATCAGAGCAGATCAGACCAGATCGTTTATTTCAGACATACGCGATTTATATCTCAATCAGACAGACCACAACGTACCATAAAATAGGAAATAATATTTGTACACAAATAAGCCAAAAAGTGGCTGTGAATGAGAGGGACAGTAATTAATAGACTGAGCATAATTTAGGGATAGTAAATCGTACAATAATAAATTATAAGTCTAAATAAAGCTTATAATAAGAGGAATATAAATATACATAGTGTAATTGTCGAGTAGTTATACAATAAGAATATTTATAGAATATTAGTACATGAATAGTCCTTGGAAGTTACCTGTAATTTAATCTTCACCGGATATAACAGAGTCCAAAACTGTGAAACTAAACTCCAGCCAAAACAACCTTATATTTCACTTGATACTTGTTGAGAAAGCTGAAAGGACTCTTATTCAAAAACTAGTTGGAGCAGTACAATGAATACCAGTGTATCAAATGAAACTCAGAATCACTGTGAGACAAAATCTTCCTAGTGACTTAACTTCTTATCAGATTTTTCATGTTATTTTACCAGATATTGGGTTGTCCTAATGGACCACATATTTTTGATGAAATTTACTACAAAAGTAAGAAAAATATGTCGAATGAACCAAATCATGATCGGAAATCTGATGCTATTTCGATAGATGCTGTTTTTTCTAATGATTCACTATTCCTTAATGAGATTTTTGATAAATATGAGAAAAATATTTCAGAAGAATCAATTCACTGTGATGTCATATCAAACGTTATTTGTCCTCATAATGTATTTGTTTCTGGTGGAAAACTTGGTCAATGTGAAGCAAAAGTTCTAAGTGAGTTCAAACTTAATTGCAGTTCGGATAATCTCATAACAAATGTTGTTTATCTTCATGATAACTGAACAAATCACAGAGTAAATGATGTAGGAACAATATTATTATAAATAAAAAAATTAGGCATCCAAGATACCATTCAAGTGAATGCATATTTGCGATAAAAATAACATTGCCAAGAACTCAAAAGCTTAAAATTTAGAGGTAGACATATAATAGGTGATCCTACATCACTGCAGTCGGCTTTGCTTCATGTTATTCGAAATCTCTAACCATTAATAACGGTAATCACTATCAAATAGTATTATGTTGCACGAGGCATGTCAGTTTAAGGACAAGATTAAGACGTTACAAATGCTATAGGATTTACTGTATTTATTTACTCAATTATATTTTTATATTATCTGATATATCGGTCATGGAAACAGAGGGATAAATTCCCGTGCACTAGAACATGAACGGCGTGGTCACATCGCCTCTTGTTTTTTGTATTAAATATACTACTCTCCTCCCAGGCTAGATGTGTTCTTCAGAGATTCTAGACGTTGTACTTGCTTTTATTAGGTTAATTTCAATGGAAGTGTATTTCAGTTAGTCAAATAAAACAAACCGGAAGTATGGAGACTGGAGATATCACAAGTATTCGGAATTTGACAACGCTTTCACCAGTAACACCTATTATGAATCGTGCCCACCAGGTGAAATCAAAAGATAGAAACGAGGAGATTCGAAGATATATTTGATAGGTGGATCGACTTATCTGGTTAGCGGTTGCAGGAGATGTTGAGCACGTTTTCCCACTAGTGATCTGGTGCGGATGCATGACCGAGCGCCTTCAGCTAGGTGCGTTCATTAAAACTAATGTGGTCAGCATTAAATGTCGAAGACCTACATAGCTATTTATTTTGGGGATTTATTTACCGCGAGGAGACTAATGGATTAAGAACTGTATAAGTAAACGCAATTCGAGAGATGTAAGGGTTTAAAATAATGTATGTTCCTGAAATGTAAGGAAAACACTGTGATTGGGTACAAAATTGGATTTTTTCATGTCAATTGTTATAACTCTATTATTTGCATCATAGCTTGTAGAGTCATGAATGGATTTAAATTAAGCGTAATTGCCTAGTTTAGCTTGCAGTAAGGTTTCTCTGTAGGAAGTGAAACCATTTAGGATTTACAAATATCAGTCAAAGGGTTTTTGGGCACTGAAAATTAATATTAATACTGTTAGTTAGTTACAACCCACTAGACCGTATGAAGCCGTAAGTTATTAAGGTGTTCTACCCTTCAGACAGGTGAATTGAGATTGTCTTCCAACATCATATTTACTGGCCAGAAAAACCATGTAATATCTTATTAGATTAGATAGTCACATAGTGGGAAATATACGGTTGCAGCGTAGGTCTATTATTCTGGTAGCATAAATAAGTGTACTAATACTTACCATTATCAAAATTCAACAAGCTCCCTCATGTTTATTGTACGTCTGAATAATGCTATAATCTAATCTCCTTAATGCACACATTGTTGAAATACATTTTGCACACTAGTTCCACACGACAAGCAAGTCAGATATATTAGACTTTCGTATCGTGGATTTGATATTCATTCAATGTATGACACTGCCATGAAGTTAAGTGAAGGTAAAAATTATAAGATGCCGAACAGATAATACGTAGTCAAGTGATGGTAAGGACAGATAACCTATCATGGATTAAGAAAAACGTGTTTCCGGTTGCAAACTTTACGAGTAGGACGATAAGTAAGGAGAAAAACAAAACACTTGAATTCTAATAAACTCCAGACATTAGAACTTTTTTAAGTGGTTGAACACGAATTAGGTGAAAACACAATAGTTTAGGGTAGTTTGAGCTTTTGTGATTGATCATAGGTGATGAGGATCCACAGGTTAAATGAGTTATCTGTCCACTTGAAATAGGAGCTAAAAAGGACATGGAGCATCATGGAATAAGTGACGCAACTTTAAACATTTCAGAAATTCCGAACTTGAGTTTGGAGTGTAGGAGTATAAGGACATACCTAAGTAGCAGGAGAAGAAAATCATTACGTTTTATCATTTGGCCTTCCAAGCTTGACTGAAGTTTAGGAGGTCTCTGAGTACCAAAGTATGAGAGTTATTATTCTAGCGTGTGTATAAGCTGACGAATTTTTTATGACAACATCGAGAGGGTACTCCAATTTCTTGGTGTCCAAATCTGGTTTTTAGTGGCTCCAACAAGACAGCATCACCGTAAACATTCAGAAATACCGAGTCAGAAATAATTCTGCTGACTTTTTCATGTGTACCATTGATCCTCATAATATTTGCCCCATAGAAAACAAAGTGGAGGCTGTTATATATAAGTAAAGAAAATTTACTGTGAGGCACATTTTCCGGAAAGAATCGTGCTATCGTACTGAGAAATGATACGAATACTCTTTCTTTCCTCAAACCGACCAGTCAACTTTACCACTTCACGGCATCATTCTCTAGATTACGGTGCAGCCCCTGATAACAGAGTTATTGGAAAACATTTTATAGTATCGGATAGGGGTGAAAAGTCAACACACCATCGTAGAATTGTTAGGTCGACGTAGCACTTAGTGGATTATTGTATGTATACTAAACTATGCATCTCTTCCGCTCTCGTTTTTCAAGTCCTATAGATGGTTAGTTGGATTTTAAAATTTTTATTGAGTCAAAGATGAAAAACCATTGGTATGATTTATACGAGGATGTATACCAATATTAATCTGTACAGTTTGCATTCCTTAAGCACAATCCTATTAAACACTTGTTTTCAATTTTCCTTCTCATCTTCACAGGACAGCTGGAAATAATGGTGAAAGTGAAGACGAACTTTAAAAGTCCGGTTATTTTTTCGTTATTATTAATAAAATTACAGCTTTTATGAACATGAAGTGCTGTAGAATCATGGTCTCCTATTAGTGTTGCTCTAATAACGGACGTAATCCACAAATGTGGATTCGTCATGATGTACCTGCCTAATTTATAAGATCTTACGTGGAAGTCACACCATCGTCTACTCTAACTCATCGTATCTTGACAATCATCAATATATGATGAAGAACACGTTTAAGCTGGAGATAGAACAATCTATTCAACATGGACAAAAAATGGCATAAGTACGACCACGCATGCAAGGCCAAGCCATGCCAACCGATCAATTCGAACTGATTGAATTAGTTGGGTTCATTCTTCTCGCCTTCTCCATCGTTGGGTCTTCTCCATGTTAAATATTGAATATCTATTTTCCCAATTTTCTCGTGTTAAGCTTTATAGTTTTTGTGGTTAGGGCCCAATGTCACTACAGTGCGTTTACCAACAGCATGATCGTTAGGTCTAAACTCTTGGTTTCTTCTTGTTTCATCTTAGGGTTCTCACCGCTCCACTAGGAGTAGTGGTAAATGAATTTGAGTCACAAATAGCTCTGTAGGTTTTTAACATTGAAGCTGACTAAATATACCACAGTCAAAAGACTTTCAGTCACAGTCGCATCAGTTCACGGTTAAGACTCGTTTTTCGGTGCATCTGCTGCACTAACTGGACAGCCTACATTTTGTACATAACCGGCCATTGATCTCCATCTGCGTTCCTTGTTCTCAACTCCTTGTTTTATTACCTTTGGAATCATTCCGGTGTATTCTTGCCGAATCCTGCGTATCTACCACTTATTCACTCATGAGCCTTGATGTGATTTGATAATCAAATAGTTAAGTTGTGAGTTTGTTTCTTGTGATTATGTTATATATATATTTTTCATATATTGCAATGCTCTTTGTTTCCTTGAATTTGTTTGTAATATTTCTGATAAGTTCATTTCAGATATTCATTTATGCAGACTGAACTCAGGAGTTGCAGTTTGAAAAGAGCCTTACATTCTACCTGAAATATTACTAATTACAATAGGCAATGTACCTCGAAGTATACATTGCATAGTACTAGAAAGAAGGCAATTATTTGAAAAGATAATTAATGTACAGGCACACATACAAACGCAAAAAGACTCATACTTGGAGAACTGCGATGATTTTTTTACTGAGGGCCACAGTTCCTTACGAAGAGAATATAGTTATTGGTAATGTGGGAACTACTTAACAGTGACATACTGTCTAGATTAGTAAAGTATGTCCCGAAGCTAAGGCAAATCACGTTGGCGTGCAATAATAGTTGATACATTTTGCAAAGCTGGAACTTTATCCAGCACATGATTATGCAACATGATGTCATTATACAGAAAAAAATAATTCTGTTATTGAGATTTACTTTGATAATCAGATCAAGACCTTGTAAGCCTCTTTTCGATCGTACGTGGTACTATTGAATATTGTATTTGCACAAAGAGGTTATTTAAACTGTGGCGATTGTAAAATTAGTAACACGGTAAGACAGAGATGGCGTTTGGTTGAGAATGATTCGTTTATTGATTGGTTTGGTCTATGCCTTTAATTGGACAGTTGTAGTCTGTTAGAAGCTGATTGGCTCTAACGGCAATTCCAGACAACTGGTTGATCGACACAACTCGAGTTGTGTAGTAATTACTACACAGTTTACCTCGGGTGATCTGCCGTTAATTAGTCATTTCAATTTAGTTGTTAACGCATATAATGCGTTTATCTACTCGTATTGAGTAATTTTAAGTTGAAAGAGCTTGTATAAAGTTAATAGTCACCTGTGGGCACATGTACCCATAGAAACTGCGAACACCGTTTGTAAAAGACCGTGCTTGCTGTTTCCGAACTTTTTGTTGTTGTTGAAATAATTGAAACTTTGGACTTTTAATTGTCAGTCTGGAGTATTTTGCAACCTTGGTGTTTGCTTTAATACTTGGATATCTCAATTGTTTCTATTCAGTCAATATTTGTTCCTATTCATATAGCGACTTTTCAGGCTGCTAGGGAGAATCGGCAATCGGTTTGATTCTTGGGATCCGTATGTTTGTTACAATTGTCGTGCAGTTTATGCTGTTCAGTGCCACAGTCACATGATTGCTAGCAAAAATTTCGGAGTTATCTTTCTCACAAGTAATTCCCCTAAATTATTTAAATTTCTAAAACTAAATTAAAGATCTAGGTTTCCTTCTGTATACAGTCTTTTTATAAAGCTTCCCTTGTATGACGTAACAATAGTTTGTATTAGTCAATATGCAGTAACCGAGTCTTAAAAGCTTTAACGAGGTGACTTGCACTCAGTTGAAACTTTAAGTGATATAGCCCCGTAATTTTATGGAGATGCTGAGAAAGATTTGTATTGTCGAAGTGCTACAAACCTGGTACAGTAGCACATTTGAATTTCTGGAATTCAATATTCCATATGTAGGCTAAATGTTGGAGTATGAGTCGCTCATCCGGTCATCACCGTTTCCAATTTTAAATACGGTGATTACGATGTGTATTCGTCATGCCTTCGATAGGAGTTCACGGTTAGAGTATGGCACAACGTATGAAATTCCTTTGGCAAGACTAGATCTTAGCAGGAACTACTCTGCAAAATCAAAAATGGCTAGGGAATTTCCAAGGAACAGTAGGTTCCTCGTATCCTGTGAAAAAGTAGCCTATTAATACCATCTGTTCCAGATTTCTGCAAGACTATTGGCGCGCTTTGTAAGGTAACTTTAATGTATGATATATTTGAATTATGTCTTCCTGTTGTCCAGTTAAAAACATTGATTAACTCTAAAGTTGTGAAATATGTGCTTATTGCCTTCAGTGCAACAAAATTGAAGTTTGGTGAAAACCCAGTGTAGTCTAACTAATGGTAGAAGCCTTTAATGCGCTATATAAACAGAGCTTTGCAGAAACATTGGGATACAAGCAATTCTGAAGTTCCTTAAGGATGATGGTCCTGTTTCATCAGTCAGACTTATTAGTATATTGAATGTAATCTGGGAAGTAGGAGCTATTCTGTTTGACCGGTCTCGATCTTTGATCGTTCCAGTTTATGAGAAAAGACAAGTAATTTTATGACAATCACAACGAAGTCAGCTTGACTAATATAATATCAAAAATGCTAATCGTTGCTCAACTGCAGCTTGAAAAGAGTAAACTCGGAAAAACTAAGCTAGTTCCAGACGTACGTATGTGTACCAAGTGTATACTATTTGTCAAATCTTAAACATAAGCATGCTTATAGACTCTCGGTCACAATGGTGTTCCTTGACATTGGGATAGGACTCGACTAAGTCGAGGTTTTGTGACGTTATTAAAAGGTTTACTAAGGAATTTCGAACCCTGGTCAAATTAAAGCACGTGGCGAACTCATTAAGATTTTCAACCTCAAGTAGTGTTCGTCAGGGTTGTCCACTTTTTCCGTCATTTAACTCCTTCACAGATATCATCTCAGAGATAACGCTCTCATGATGTGACTTCCCAGGAACTGGTATCTTAATATGAAAATCACTTGTTTACTTGAAATACGCAATTGATGTTATGAATACATTGACAAGATACAGTCTTCTGACCACCTTAGGCGACAATCCAAGCATGTTTGGGATGCGATTTTGTCTCTAAATACAAAATGGACTAGTCTACACCAGTACCCGAACTAGTAATAGGAAACGAAGTGTTCAAGTGCATTGACCACTTAACTTATTTGAAAAGTCTCATCAGCCCGGGTTTATTGGTTTTTGATGAAATCTCGACGCGGATTCAGTATTCTGGGTTCGCGTTTACTGAGTTGTGTCCATACGCAAACTCAAGGACGAGTTTTATGCTCAGTAGTTCACTCTTTTTCGTAGGTGTAAACCATGGACTTTAAGACTAGAAGATACTCATGGGCTACTAGTATAGAACCACAGAAGTCTTCGAATCTGCTAGTGTATTTTGGGACTATCAAGTAAGCTAAAGTCAGGCACAAATTAATAATTAGAAATATCAAGTCGGTTGATAAGGTGGTAAACCATCATTAACTGAGGTAGTTAGAACATGCTACATATACCCAACTACTGCCTACCTAGGTGCCAATGTTTGATCAAGGAGTAAGCTGAGAGCTAGCAATGGTTAATTCGATCATTGATGTTAGTCTGTGAAATCACTGACTGTTGGACTGAGTCATGCTACGTATTTGGCACCTACCCATTTGGTAGATTTGATGTTTATCTTCCCTTGGTCCCTGAATCCCAAACGTACATATTTCAGTCTTTTTTTCTACTACTACTATCATTAATTCTACATCATGGTATTTTTTTTGATAATTTTATCGCGTGTTAACTTGGTGTGGCTATTCGAACCGGAGCACATATTTTACGTTCTACGTTGCTTATGACTGATCAACTAAATGTCTTCAAGAGACTACATTACTGAAGGAAGGAACAAACAAGGCTAAAAAACATTGTGATTGACTGTTTGTTTATCATTAAACGCAATGCATTCGTCCAGTTTGAATTTTATCGAGGGGATTGATGTTGCACATTTGGTTTGCATCATTTTGTATTAGACATTTCGTTCACTTGTGTGATTTATTTTTCAGACTCAGTTCCCTAAACTGGTGGTGGAAATTTATTTGGATCAATTTCCGGCGTTTACATATGCGATTACTTTGATTTTCGATCGGATTACTGGGAAACGGCATTCTTACTAGTCATCAAGTCCTTTTTTAATGCCTAGAATATGCACACTAAACTATATTATTCTCTGTTCAGGAGTTGTCATAACGTGAGAATCATGTTTTAATATAAAAGTTTAGTATTGCGCTGATATTCCTTGTTAGGTTGAACCAGTTGGATGAGAAAATTTTTCCTTACTCAAAGAGGTCTAATGGTTCAGTTTGTGTAACGAAGGTTAGCCACCAAACTTTTGATGCCTGTTCCTATTTTAACTTTTCATTTTCCGACATTACAAGTTGATTTATAAGTATATCCGGAGTGTGATGGTAATCTAAGGGTCATTAGAAGTGAAATAAATTTATAAGTTGCAAAAATCTTTGTTCGTTTTTAGTAAAACTATCAGATCAACAGTGCTAAAATTCGACTCCGATTGTAGACAAATCGGATGATTAGGTTATGGACGTTATACCAGAGGAGATAGGTGAGTCATTATATAATGTTGTCTTAAGTATGATAAAGTGGAGTTTGAAGGTAGCCAGATACTACATAATGTCATGAAGTCGGTAATTGCCAGTACTTGTTTTAAACACAGGTGAAATTTTCGAGAACGTTGACTAAAATTGTTCAACCACAATGACAAGAAGTGAATGCACCCCTAATGTTCATGGGATATTTTACCAATTTTCGTTTCATTGATTATTTGAATGCTTTAGTATCTTCACACCTTTTAGTAAAATCCCAGTTCGCCACATTTTTCTTTCTAGATTTGAAACGTAATGAAAATCTTGTTGCTTATGCTTCTGGCATTTGATTTAGTTCATATAAATTTTCCAATGTAATCGTGAATACATGAAAAGACATCTACAATTTTCTATGAATTAAGTTTTGAGACTCAGTGGGTTCGGTACACAACTTTGGATGGGTTGATCAAATGTTTACTCAGCAATATTTCCTCCATTTCCCAGTCAGTCATAAACATCGTAAGACCTGACGCAAGTATGTATCGACCAGTATCACTTTATCACACCAACATAGTGTAAGGAGATTGTCATACTGTATAGCAAAAGGTTCTGAATAGTGGTTTGATCAATAGTTTAATTCATACAATTTAATCTTAACGTACGTATTTCTTATCATTCGACTGTTTTGACAATTTTTTCTAACAGGATGGAGAAGTAACATGTACAGAAAGCACACATCAAAGCTTGTCAGACTCATTTCGTCGCTTTATGATTTTTAAATGTTCACTAATTCTATTGGCACTGTGCAGTCTTGCTATAATTTGTCACAGGCATAAACGTTTAGACCAGAAACTAATGCAGAAAGTCAACTTTCAGATTGCAGCTGGTGTTTAGTATCCTCTCATGAATCGTATCTGAATTCCTCACTGTGATAGTCCTTTTTGTTGATCTTATGATTTAAATCAATACTGTAACAATGTACATTTTAGAATATTATTTTTTCTTAAGCATCTAGTCAGACATACTTTCTGATGTTTGTTTATTTAGGTGCCTTGGTCATCACGCAATGTACACTATATTCACGGATAACCCTCATGTTTTTAGGGTGACCTAGTAATAATCTGATTGGTTAATATCATTATAGCGTTTCAAAATTCTCATATTTCGAACACAAATCGTGGTGTAATAATTATATTCTAACACATTTGACAGTGTCTCATCTATTAACCAAACCATTCATGTATACACGTCCTACTTTATATAACGTCAAATTACTTAAAATAAAACTTGACATTAAACTATATGAGGAATAGTTTATACGTTGGGTATTTAAGATAAATTTCGTTAACGTTGCAACAGGTAAACAACACTGAAGATATTTCCCATGGCAGCATTTAAGATAGTCATTTGAAGATGTCTCAACCATATGAGGTCACATACTTGATTAAATTATAAAAAGAGTACATTAGATATCCGTAAATAAGATTCTCTTGTGTCGAGCTGTGTCCACTAGGACTGTGTCATGTAAAATGGGGTTTCTAATGTTCACACTTTTGCAGTCGACTAGTTTTAATCACCTTGTGGTATTATATACCAGTTTAATAATCGAAAAATCAGATCTATTACATTTTCCCGGAACTAGTTGAGTAGTTTAGCTTACATGTAATGTAGCAGTAGTTCCTCGTGTCAGATTTAGCTTTATTGCAATTCCCCTAAAAATGTATACATCTTAAAAACAACAAAGAGGAGTAGGCAGAGACTGTCTTAATCATGTCAGTCAGTTGACTTTATGAAAGAAAACGAAATTACAATATTCCTTATCACTTGCGATAACAGGCATATGTTAAGATAGGTGATTTCGTCACAATTTTTACTAAGAAAACAACTATATAATAGCTTTCATACGTGGTAAAGGGTGATTATCATGTTTTGAGACGGGATAATTTTCGAAGGGCATGGAATTTATTTTCATAGGCGCCATTTACCTGTACCCTTCTCCCTCCAGTTAAAGGCATCACTTTAGCTGGTCAATTGTATGGCTATCGTAGGACCCTCCCGATCGAAGCTGCTACCTTGACGCGGTGGTCGGGCTTGCCTATCGTGATGACCCAACCGAGCTATATTGGCTGGAACATATGTTCCTGCAGGTTTTACCATGCCAGGCAGGTCGATTGGTTAACGGTAAGACTAAAAGCAGCAACTCAAGGTCTAAGGGCGAAGTCGTACTGCTGACTGTAGAGGGGTGTGACAGCAGTAAGGTGTTTCCCTTGGACATCCAGCATGACAGCGATGCTGCCTTCCCACAAGGAGGGGTGGGGTTAGAAAAGGTCGACCCTAAAAATGCACACCTCACGGATTTCCGTCTCCGGCGGTAAGGCCCTTTTAAGAACGGAGCTAACACGTCAAAAACCTTCCACAAAAAGGCCGTGCGCGACCGGCCTCAAGCAGTTGTCCCTTGGGCTCTGCGGTCACGCTCCCAGGTCGTCAAGACCAACAGTAATCCAATTTCCTTTTCAGGTTCCTCAAGAAATACCCTTCCACGGTGTGGGCAGCCGGGAAGTGATATCAGCCCTCATACCCGTAACAGCACAAGAGACCAAGGTGGTCACATTCAAATCTTTCCTACACCTAATACCTCTCTTATCTCCCCGACTAACCCTCCCCACGTCTCTTTATCACCGCACCGCTAACGCAAACGATTCGAGTACGTGGAACGCCATTCCTGGTCTCCTGAAACCACGCTCTAAACTACACGTAGGAGCTTTTAACGTACGAACACTGCCAAATAGGACAGCAGGCTTCCTTAGCTAAAACTTTAGAATCTCGCGCCATCGATGTGTGCTGCGTCTCCGAGACGTGCATACAGGATCCGAGTAGCGTCATTCATTTGACCTCACCATGCCAAAATAAAGAACCGACTCGATTTACGCTTCGTGTATCTGGAAGCCCAGATTCTGCTTCCCGTGGCCTCGCCGGCGTAGGTATAGCATTGAGTCCTAGGGCAGAACTAGCTCTCTTAGAGTGGATCCCAGTAGACAGTCGTTTGTGCGCTGTCCGACTGAACGGAACAGTAAGAATCCGGAAAGATAGGGACACTCGTCGTTGCCTCTTCGTCGTCTCTGCCTATTCTCCCACTGACTGCAGCTCAGATGATGTAAAAGATGAGTTTTACAGAAAGCTTTCGGACCTTCTCCGAAAAGCTAGGCGCTCTGATGTAGTAATAATGGCTGGTGACTTTGGTGCCCAAGTAGGTAAACTAAGCGATAGGGAAAGACACCTAGGTGGATCTTATGGTATCGTGGCTCAAAGAACAGATAATGGCGACCGTCTGTTGCAGCTATGCTCAGATAACCGCCATTTCCTTGCAAATACTAACTTTAAACATAAGGAAAAACATCTTTTAACATGGAGACCCCCTAATTCGTCCCAACGTTGGACCCAAATAGATCACATCGCTATCAGCCACCGATGGAGGGGCTCGATAGAAGACTGTCGCTCATTCTGGAGCACATGTTTAGATTCAGATCATGCTCTAGTACGAACGTGTATCTGTCTGCGTCTTACTGGACATAGGAAAGACGCTGCAATTAAACCTCTTAGAGTCCTACTTAATGATAGTCAAGCTGAGAGTATATTTCAGGAACAACTAGGAAAACACTTAGGCAGCCATGTATGTGATGCCCACCCCGAGGCAGCATGGAATGATATCCGAAAAGCTGTGGAAACAGCAGTGACATCTGCTAGTAAGGTAAACCAGAAGGTTAGGGAGCAACACTGGATCTCAGCAGCATCTATCTCACTGATAGATGCTCGGAAACTCATTCCACCTGGCTCTGAACATAATGAAGAGCGTAGTCAGCTTAAGCGCAAGCTGACCAGAAGCCTACGCAATGATCGCGAACAGTGGTGGGTGGCGAAAGCAAGAGAGATGGAAAAGGCAGCGGCAATAGGTAATAGCAGACAATTGTTCAGACTCGTTAAGGAAACCGGAATTAGGAACCCGACCGTTAGCGAAACAATCTCAGAGAAAGATGGACATATTATTCATTCTCAATCCAGGAGATTGGATCGATGGGCAGAACACTTTGGGGATCAGTTCAACTGGCCTTCAGCCACACTTCGGTTTCCCACGATCTGTAGTCAACCTGAATGGCAAGTTAATGTAGGTCCTCCGACTTTTTACGAAGTTGAAAAAGCCATGGGAAATCTGAAACGAGGGAGAGCAGCAGGCCCTGACAGGTTTACTCCTGAGATTTTTAAGGATGGTGGTCCAGTATTAGCACTGAGATTAACCGAGGTCTTAGGTAGAATTTGGGAACTGGACGTAATCCCATCTGACGTCTCAATCACTGATTGTGCCAGTCTATAAGAAAGGACAAAAGTCCTCTTGTGACAATCACAGAGGAATCAGTTTGACTAATATAGTGTCTAAAATATTAGCTTCAATAATACTTCGACGCCTAATCAAAGCTCGTAAAGAGCAGACTAGAGAAAATCAGGCTGGTTTTCGACCTGGACGTGGTTGTATAGATCAGATATTCACACTACGTCAGGTTCTAGAACACAGACACACATTCAGACGCCCCACAATGGTAGTATTTCTCGACCTTAAGGCGGCATTCGACTCTGTTGATCGTGAGGTTCTATGGCAGTGTTTGTCACTGAAAGGAGTACCAAAGAAGTACATTAACCTTATAAAGGCTCTCTACTCGAACACAGTGTATCTACTATAATTCCCTGGTTTTTTATAATGTATTTTAACTCTATACTAACTGCTTTCTGATTGGCTGATATTTATCAGGGTCACTTAAGATTTGTTCAAAGATCGTCTATAAATTATAGTCTCGCCATATTTTATTATTTATTCACGATAATTAAGTTACAGCAATAAGTTTACTGTCAGTCAGCTACAACGTAGGACCAGGCACATATGTGCATCGGTCCAGGTTGCCATACCGCATCAGCACAACAAGATGAACACCGGCTTCATAGCAGTGGTTAGGTCAAAGGTGGTAATATATAAGAGAAAGATTGCATATAGAGATATAGTACAAGAAGAAAAAATTGGTTTATAGAAAGAAAGATATGAAGCGATTTTAATCTCTCAATTTAAGAGAAGACGGAGTGTATACACCGACGCCATTGTGATCGATTCTGAGCCATGTCATCAAGAGTCTCCAACCATTGGTTACGAAAGTCACGCGGACCCCAACCAAGTAGTCTGCATCTACCAACATGGCTCAGACTAGAAGTTAGTGACTTCAAGCACTGATGCCACGTTTTGGTTTGGCTGCCCCTAATTTTCTCCCAACCATCTCCGATACCGGATAGCATGGCACGTCGTGATAATCGGTATTCAGGCATACGTAACACGTGGCCCAACCATCTCAGTCGATGAAGATCCATAACCTCATCAGCTGATTTACCATCATTTCCTAATACCCTGCGTCTAACCTCACTATTACTTACCCGGTGATCCCAGCAGACGCCAGCAATATTTCTGAGGCATCTGTGGTCAAATACTAACAGCTAATAAGGGTGCGATCGAAAAAGGCGAGCAACACAATTGAGGAGTAGAATCTTTAAGGGTTTGAAAGTCTTTTAGTTTACTCTATTTTTTTGCCCATATGATCAATCAAAAAAGTGGTTTCTTAGACGTACAGTGAGAAGCATATTTTCAACTACGGTAATTTTCTGAATTTGGAAACAATTTGCTACTATTGTTATATCAGTTAGGCTATCTCATACATCGACTTCGAATAGCGATCGAATAATTGAGGTGGCCTGTTTGGTAATTCGTATGAACTTTTACAGTAGAGAGGTTTAGACAGCCGAAAACACATACTATCTTACCAAGCCCCTATCATGTAACTGGAAATTCTATCCTCTTACAGTTATCTAATATTCAGACGGTAAGTTTAGTGCAATCAACGAACTTGAAATTTGGTAAAGGAGGTTCAGGGGTCGGATCCGAAGTATTTTACGTAGACAACTGTTAGTAAACACTTTTATCTTCTGGATTTCGTAGTTCTCTAGGTTTCCGCCCCATACAGTAGAACTGTCTCCACATCTGTATTGGAAATTCTGACCTTGAAGTTGGTTGACAATTGTTTTGAGTTCCAGATGTTTTTCAGTTGTAAATATGCTGTTCTTGCTTTGCCGATCGGCGCTTTCACGTCTACATTAGATCCACCGTGTTCATCAATGATGCTGTCCAGATATGTAAAGGTTTCTACATCTTCCAAGGCTTTTCCGTCAGGTGTGGTTAGATCGGTACATGTTGTGCTGTATCGGAGAATTTCGCTTTTCCCTTTGTGTATGTTTAGACGTACTGCCGCTACACTGATAGTCTTCTTCTCAGCTCATCTTTATCAGTGTATGCCTTTATAGGCGAATACCATAATATCGGGACGGTAACTACATTCGATGTAACAGAATACTCAGTCAGCGAAACGTGTAACCAATGGGGCAGTATTTGGATTGCTCAATCGTTGAATCACTCGGTCATTAGGTCCGGATTCTGGTTCACCGACTTTGGTTTGGACAGTTGGATGGTATCACTACGTCTTGCACAGTGTTACTCGAACTCAAGGCACAAAATTGTAGTCCCACCTATTCTATACTATACCTGGTGGGTTACATTATTTAAATACATCTATCACATCCAAATAAACGCTGGAAATAATATGTAGCATTGATTTAGCTTGTCATGAAACAAAATAGTAAGGTAACCAAAGGTAGACATACAATACTGTTGAGCCATTGAGATACTATAATAATATAAGTTTGCAGAATAATTATGGAGTAACATTATTGAAGTCAAAGGTGATAGTTGACTGGATTTTATTCTTAAATATATCAAATATTTGTACACAGCTCGAAACGATCATGGCAAGAAAATCCTAAACCAACAGGTTTAAATTTTAATATCTTGACCAAGGATAAGTATTCCAATCAGCATCAAAACGATTGCAGTTTGGCTGCTTAAGAGTTCCATCGGGGTTTCTTCTAGACTCAAGTGAATGAGTTATTGCTTTGTCTAATCGCGAAAGACCACTATAACGATATTCATTTCCATCTTGATTAAGTTTGTATTTGTAGTGTGAAGTGAAAAACTCCTTGAAGAAGTCATGATTGGCCCATCTTTTGTTGTGCCACTTTCTTAGGTATGCACTGCTTAGATATCTGAAATTTTCTTTATTAGAATGTAATAAAGCCTATAGAGGAAAAAAGTGTTTAGCAAAACGAAGTGCAATAAATTTATGAAATGTGGATCACAGTTTAAAGTTTTTGACATTTTCCTAAGCATCTTTGAGTCAAACGGAGATTATGCCAACCTTTCAATTAAGTTTGATCATACAACTGGGGTTCTTATAACTAAAATTAGGTTCTTTTTGTTGTTTAGTAACAATTTCTACAGGATTTTCTTAAGTGAGATAAACCTGATTAAGTGCAATTTTAGCGACTTTGTTTTTTATAGACAACTTACGTTGGTAAGAAAAACCCACTGTTTATGAGGCATATATACCGTATGATGAATTGTGGACTTGAAATAGTACATCCATTAAAAGTGAAATGTCACTGGGGCTTAGAAGTTAGAGCCGATATTTTTCATGTATAAGTATGATGATGAGGTATATCAAATCAGACTGCTACAAAAATCGCTGATGGGTCAATATATACTGGGAAAGATATCTCCAGTGTTTGATAACCAGGAAATCTATCCGAGTATGTATGAGAACCTAGGCAAAATTTCACGTCTAACATAAAACCCAACCATTTTTTAAAATGTCTATATATACCAACCTGAAAATTTCGAATAAAAGTTAAGCTTACTTCATGAACTTCTTTTCAAATAGTAACTACATAGGTCTCAGTATCATCCTTCAATTGTTTGATGTAATGGAAAATGTAACTTCAAACTACTATCTATCAAAGTGAATATTATTCTTATATCCTGATGACCCCCTAATGCCCTGGTACGGCCGAGAATGGGGAAAGTCTGCTCTCCCTCTCGAAATGCTCTCATATGGCCACGCGTATATAGCCTCTGCCAGGGAAGTCCTACTCACTGCCTTCTCGTGGCGGGGGAGGCACCAAATACATATGCACCACACAAATCTCATTCGACATGTGTGAGGGCTGTGATACTGACCGGGTGCCCAAACCGAAACAGATGGTTTCCTTAGGGGGCCACTCCCGAGCCTTCGACCTGAAGGTCTGACCCGCAAGGCAGTGGAGCATCGTAAGGAGATGCAGTCCCGTGGATGCTGGTGACCAACAATTGGTTCATACGCCATTTGTTCCCTCAGGATACTGGAGCCCATGTTCACCGTTGATTTGGACATTCGCTTTTCGTCCTCTCATTTTCGTAAACAACACCCGTGGTACGAGAAGGCAGTGAGTAGGTGTTAGCGGGACATAGACTAGATTAAAGCATGCTCAATGCATGATTGTCTTGGTGCACGCTGATTGGCTGATTCTTATCCAATCAGCACTAGTCGATAGTCGGAGAATACTCTGGAATCTTCTTATGTAAAAACTATAAATATACCAACGTTTTCCCCTATTGTGCTTCCTACTGGCTTCTGACTTGCTATTTGGAATATAATCTTTTTCCTGTTCAACCGTGTTCTGATTTGGGGACTTGTCGAGTGAATCGGTGTCCGAGAATACTAAGCAATAGGAATAGCTGGGTCATTAACCGTAAGGACTTCCCTGGCAGAGACTATATACGTGTGGCCATATGAGAGCATTTTGAGAGGGAGAGCGGACTCTCCCCACTCTCGGCCGTACCAGGGCATTTGAGGGCCATCAGGATATAAGAATAATATTCACTTTGATAGATGTTGTTTACAAAAATGAGAGGACGAAAAGCGAATGTCCGGTGCTTTAACCGGATTCCAAATCAACGGTGCACATGGGCTCCAGTATCCTGAGGGAACAAATGGCGTATGAACCAATTGTTGGTCACCAGCATCCACGGGACTGCATCTCCTTACGATGCTCCACTGCCTTGCGGGTCAGACCTTCAGGTCGAAGGCTCGGGAGTGGCCCCCTAAGGAAACCATCTGTTTCGGTTTGGGCACCCGGTCAGTATCACAGCCCTCACACATGTCGAATGAGATTTGTGTGGTGCATATGTATTTGGTGCCTCCTTGTACCAATATCTATGTGTTAAAATAAATAAATATCCTGATATAAGCATTTAGTCAACAAACAGGTTTAGTAGTTAAAGAATTTAGTTTTCCACTTCTGAAATGGAGATTTGAACACGCTCCACAGCATTTCGGGCTGCTGTGTATTATTATTAGTTCACATAATACAGATGTGGCTCAAGACTGAGTACACGAACCCGTCATAGGCAAACGAGTATACGTTAATTTTTCAGTGTAAGACATACTTCGTTATACGTCCTTTGCGTAACTAGATCACTCTTCAAACAGCTTTGCATTTCGAAGATGTAGAGTTAAGTGATAAATACTTACTGTACCACTGAGTGAACTAAGGAGGAAACAAGTGACGAAACTAACTTTTAAATCATAAGGTCGATTAGGATTGTACACCGATAGGTTTGTTTGGTTCGGTTCTGAAGAATCCAATAACTGAGAATCAACAGAAAGACCCCGATGTCTGAAAAATCTGCCGTCTGGAAGCAGTCTACAGGCAAGTAAATCAGATTCAGTTGGTAACCCGTTCTCGAAAATAACAGGCTGTATCCGGATAAGATGTTTTATCTCGTATAAATCTCGGTTGACTGATGGAGTATTTTTAACGACTACCCAGTTGTGATTCTAAAAACATATGAAATAATGTATTACATTACTTTTGTGTCCTTTCCAAGACCATATTTTTCAAGGATGGCTCTCTGGTAGTGAATGACTCCCTTCATAGGCTTTAGCCGACAGATCATATGCAGTAAAGGAGGTTCCTTCGATTGGCTGAGCAATTGTTGAGATTCTTGCATTCGGAATAGACGTTTAGCCCATCCCAGTGGATTTTTTTTATCATCACTCCAAGGGAGTGGTTTCGGTTCCTTCGTATATGACATGGCGTTGTGAGGTAAAGAAACATGAAGTGATCGACAACCGGTCACCAAATTATAAGCCCAAAGTCGGGTCATTATAAGAAGGTAGGTTTATTCTGAATGTGTAGTCGTCTGAGTAGTACGATCTGAGGTGAAAAAGTACCATACATAATGAGCCAGTAGAAATATGTCTAATTCAGAATACTTAGAGTACAAGGTCGAAGTATCTTGAATAACCGAAGTACCAGCTTATTCTAAGACGCAGGTCTTGGAGAGTATGGGAAAGGCACTATCTTTTTGTGAAGGTCAGATTCAATAAAGTCCTCAACAACAATAAATCCTGTCCACCAAATAAGTTGACCGAGTGGAGAAACTAAACACGGAGTAATCGGTACCATATATATTCACAGATAATAAACATGGACTTTTGTTCTAGTTTCCACAATGGATGCCACTACAAAGAAAATACGTTGGCAATTCTAGGGACAGCGTGGAGACACTGATGCTAAATGCACGACAAAAATTAGGTTAAAACTGAGAACGGAACCGGATGGCGTATATGATTCAACAGGAGATGAAAGTACGTGGACACTTCCACGACCGGTTTTGAGTCGTCACAAAAATGCCAACAATGATTTGCAAATTTCACGTGGATTACGACTGGGGAGCCAACATTTCCATAGATGAATTCCGCCATTATAGGTTGGTCGAATGACTTTGACTAGTGCACTATTTCTCATACTACCACTGTATCAGTTAATACTTCTAGCTGAGTTAATCCGGTGAAACACGCCGCACGTATCTTTACTTTTACTGTCTGTCAAAAAGGCTTACAGAAATATACGAAGTCTAAAGGTTTGTAACTGTTTGAGAAGTGACTACAATCCCTAGGATGATTAAGGTATCAAGATCTAGTAAGATCACATTCTCTTAATTAACAGTGTGAATACGGCTACTCTGGTGAAAGATCTCAGGGAATGTTTGATCGGGCTAAAGATTTTGGCCACGAGGGTAAACTATATGGGATAAATTATTAAAACTCATTATTTTGCACATTATTTGCCACGTGAACAAATGCAGACAATACTGGCCTTAACCGTCCTAATAAAAATATGGGGGAATACATTATAAATTTACGGTTATTAGAGGGGACTTGTAGTTTTTGAGAAATCTGTTTCCACTATAGTGGAACAGACTTGATAAACTCATAAAGACGGTAGTAGTAAAAGTGACCCATCACAAAAACTTATCTCTACAGTTATCAGCTACTAAGTTTAGTTGTGCAAGTGTGTCTTTATAATACCTCATATAATACCTTGTGAAGTCTGGTACTATCCCTTTAGTTGACCATGAGCGCTATAAATTGAGGCTGAATGTTTCAATGGCACCAATATATTAGTGATGAGCTAGTATAGAACAGCAGATTTATTAACACTCACTAGTTGATGTTATGGTGTTTTATTGTGGTAAACTGTAATGCTCGATATGCTGCACGTCGTTGTTGGGTTTACTCTTATCTTTCTGTCATATAGCGGCTACAATTTTAAATGGCGAAGTTGGCCATCGTACGGTTTGTCTCTGAATCCCATGATCCTCTTAGTGGCCCACTGAAATAGTTGTTCCAATAGCTTCATATTCCTTTTGTGAAAGACGGTGCAGAACTGTTGTTGATATTTAGATTTAGGTTCAAATGGTTCAAATGGTTGTGGACGGAATAGAAGAAGCTTTCGCTTAACAGGCTTCCGTGTCTAGTAGCAGGGGATCACCAAATCCTCCAGGCAGGAACCTAGGTATGTTAACAATAAAAGAGGAAAAGAAATTGGTAAATCATAGTGCGATGCTGTCCTTGGTCCTTAAGAATAGGTCAAGTTGCCTCTTGAAGGACTCCTGAGAAGTCGCTTGGACTAGCTCGGCCGGCAGCGAGTTCCAGCTTTTGACAACTCTTAAGGAGTAGAAGTTGTGTCTACATTCCGTCTTGCTATGTTGTGTTTCCAGTTTCTGGGTGTTACCCCTTAGGTTATTGTTCGAACTAAGCTTAAGTAGGTGTTTGAGAGGATGTCCAGAAGTGTTAAGAATACTATAAGCCATTAATAAATCACCTCTAAGACGCCTATATTCTAGTGGGTAAAGGTCTAGTGAACGGAGGCGTTCTTCGTAAGGCTTAGATTTGAGTCCTCGAACTGATTTCGTGGCTCGCCGTTGGATACGCTCCAAAGTGACCTTATCCTTTTGGAGTGAGGGGGGAGTACTATGTTTCCGTACTCTAAATGGGGACGGATGAAACTATTGAAGATTGTGTGGAAAGTTCTTCCGTCAAACTGACCAAAAATGCGCCTCAACGTTACCAGTGCAAGGTTTGCTCGGAAGGCATTTTTGTCACAGTTAGCGTAAGACTTTAAGTCATGGGGCACCAGGACTCCTAAATCTTTTTCGACTTGGGATACTACTAGAGAGGAGTTTCCTAAGTTGTAACTGTAGTTTGCGACATGTCGCAGGTGGATTACTTTACACTTTGAAGTGTTAAAGGTAAGTCCGTTATCGTCTGCCCAACTTTGAAGTCGAGTCAGATCCTCTTGAAGTGCCTGTATATCGTCTTGGTTGCGTATCTCTCCAAAGTTTCACGTCGTCGGCAAAAAGTAATAAGTCTGACGTTACCTGTTGAGGAAGATCATTTATGTAGATCAAGAAGAGAAGAGGCCCTAGTACTGAGCCCTGGGGGACCCCACTAGGACATTCCATAGCTTGAGATAAAGTGAAATTAACCCTAACCTTAAAGTGTCGATTTTTTAGGTATGAAGTAAGCCAGTCGATTAGAGGTGGTTTGATACCTAGTCGTTTGAGCTTGTTGATAAGACACAAGTGGTTAACCTTATCAAAAGCTTTTGAGAAATCAAGGTAAATGACATCAACCTTTCCCTTGCGATCGAGGATGCTTGTCCATCTGTCCACCGCAGTCAGCAGGTTGGTTATACAAGAGTAACCCTTCCTGAAACCATGCTGTTGGGGTGAGAAGAAATTTAAGGACAGTAGGTAGTCATTTAAACCGTCGCATATCAGGGACTCCATGAGTTTTGAAGGTAACGACAGAAGAGCTACCGGCCTGTAACTTGAAGGTTCATTGCGTCGACGACCTTTGAAAATTGGTGTGATGTGAGCCAACTTCCAATTTTCAGGTAGTTTGCCTCGGCTAAGCGAGTGTGAAAACATCACGCTAAGCGGCGTTGCCAGGATTGAGGCTGCCTCCCTCAGTATGGCAGGATGAACCATATCCGGGCCAGGAGAAGTGTCAAGTCTTAAGTGCTGCAGTTTCCGGAACACCAAGTCAGCGCTTAGGTCCACTTCAGAAAGTCCTGTGGAATTGCAGATGAAACTGTCGTCAATAAAGTTGATATCAGCCGGTTGAAATGTTTGAGAGTAATGGGCCGCCAGAAGGTTAGCGGCGTCGCCATCGTTGTTGGTCGGGCCGTTAGGACCTAGCAGTTGAGAAACTCCTGTTTTGGCTTGACGAAGAGAGGCTGCATAACGGAATAGGCTTCTAGGGTTAGAGGCGAATTTGTCCATAAGCTTTGTTTGGTACTGAAGCCTGTCTTCTCTTATAGCCTTCGTGCATGTGTTCCTGATATGTTTGTATTGCCTATACGCTCCATCGTTATTAGTTCGTTTGTATTTTGCCCAACAGTGCCGTTTGCGGCTTAGGAGGCGAAGGGTACGGTTCTTGATAACTGTAGGTGGCTTGAAGCTTTTGGGAACCGTTTGAGGAACTGAATGGTCTGTAGCACGTAAGAGCGTGTGCAGCAAGAAGTCCCAATGACCATCCACATCGATTTGAGGGTGAACATCCCAAGCCACCTGTTGTAGATGGTCATGTAGAGCTCGCACATTCAGCCGTTTAAAATTCCATCGCAAATTTTTGTTGGGATACCTTAGCTTAGTTTTGATGACAAAACTGAAGGCTATGACGGCATGATCGCTTTTTCCCAGAGGAGCCAGGATTGAGAGGTTGTCGACTAGGAATTCTTCGTTAGTGAATACACAGTCTAAGCGCGATGGTGTCTGACTTTCTCCAACGAGTTGCCGACCTCACATTTTCATATAAGCCCAAGTTATCGATGAGGTTGAAGAACCGAGCTTCAGTTGAGTTGTCACCTCCAGTGTACGTGTGTTCCGCGAAGTTGACTCTAGGGAGATTAAAGTCCCCTAGAATCAGGATGTGTGTGAAACCGAGACGGATAGAGCGGGATAGTCCTTCCAGCATACGACTATCGTACTCGGTGTCGGCAGTTGGCTTCCTGTAAATGACTCCGACTAGACACCTGGAAGTACTAGACAACCTTACAGAGCACCATATGGATTCCTCAAGATTGTTAAACTCGAGGTTGTGAACCTGGTGCACCTCCAAGCAAGAGCTTATGTATATGGCTACTCCGCCCCCAATTCCTATTTTTCTGTCGTTGCGGAACAAAGTCATCCCAGGCAATGCTAACTCTTGATCCGAGAACTGAGAAGATGTCCAGGTTTCAGATATTCCTATCAGATGGGCCTTGTTAGCGTCGCTAAGTTCACGTAGTTCATCCAGTTTGTTTGGTAAACTCGCGGCGTTCGTATATAAGCAGTTTATGCTTTCAATTTGGAACGCATGAGCTTCGTCCTGTTTTTCTGTATGAACCTTATGTGAATGGACAGGTAGCCTACCTATATGAGGTTTGCCGAGGTGGTAGGCCCTGTCCTTTACACGTTTTTTTATCGTTTAGACAGTCCACAAGTGGAATGGTCAGCTCCAGCTTGCCTTTGTTCTTGGTCCTGACTTCGTATGGCCTATCCGGGTGCATGTGGATTCCAGGTGGCAATCGACGTCTATTAGCATGAAATGCTTCCAGAACTGCAGCCGCCATGTGGGAAGATGGGAAGGTTATCTTCATTAGACGGGGTCTAAGATCACCGTCCTTCTTGGCTAGTCTCGTCACATGCTGAGTCAGTATGTGTTTGAGCCTCAAGGACTGTTTGATGAATTTTCATTCCCTGATGTCAGAATTTGATTGAGTAGGGTCTGCATTTTCCGGTATACCTTGGACAATTATGTTTCTTCCGCGGAAGAA